GCTGTAGATGCATTTAAGAGAAAACGATTGACATTTGCTTGGTTGGATGGTGAAAAACAACAGGTGATCTTTTTTCTTTCATTTGTTATATTTTTATTTATTGATTTTCAGCTCTAATTAAATTTAGTTGTCTGCTTGCTATAGTAAGTTTACTTAGTGTTTTTTGCATTCTTCAATGAATCTAATGGATACGGATTAGATTCATTTCTTGAAATTTTCTAAAATTATGTGACAATTATAAATGACCGAAGCAACATTTTGCTTGATTTTTGTATTTCTAAATTTATCAATGCCAAGATATATTGAATCATTAAGAAATGGCAATGATAATACTACCTCTGGCCCTAATTATAAGACCTCGTTTATAGTTTACAAATGAGGTCTTATAATTAGGACCGGAGATATTAACTAATCTGTCTGGATAAAGATACTTTTTCCGCCTTATTTGCAATTGTTTCCTGCCCCAGCTGCTAACATAAACGCATAATTAATCTCTTATTAGGACTATTGTCATTTTTACCTTGGTTCTGCGGCCAGCTATGACACTTGTGGACAACGGAGGAGTGTGAATGATGTACCTCGTTTATTAGTCATCCGTTACTTAAGGAATAGTACTGCTGTGGATAAGAGGACACAGGAAGTAACAAAATGGAACTCATTCCTATACCAAGATCTGTTCAAGGATCGGGATCAGGCAGGCCAGTTTGTAGCTAAGTACAATGGTGAAGATGACATTTCACAGGTTTTGTACTTTGCATGATTCCTGATTTTCTTGCCTTGATTCATTTCACATTTCCTTCTGTAACTAATCACAGTGTTTATGAACATATTATCTTGCATACTGTGAGAATTAACCATGTCACACCATCAAAGAAATGTTGTTCTCTCATGCTTTTTCTTTTTCTTTGTTCATTTTTTTTAGCAGATTACCAAATGGATTGCAGGGATCATAGCGGATGGCGACTCAAGAGATCTACCATTCTTTGTAAGTATTTTAAGTTACGAATAAATGTCAGCGATCCGTTAAGAATTCTGGCTAATCCTACGTACCTTGTCGCCTTTGTAGACACTAAGAACCCCTCGGCTTGTTGAAGACGACTCTGAACCTGTCTGGTCCAGAACAGCACAAAAGATTCCTTTGAAAAATATGAAGCAGAGAGTTTTGGAAGTTCTTGCTGGACTATACGATTACCTTGAGGACCCTAGGGTTGGTCCAATTCTGCTTCTGGGAGCATTAACTTCTCTGGGGACCATCTGGCTGCGGAGGAGCCAACCAGCTGATTTGGCTAAGTCAAATGATTCCAATCAACCTAGACATGAGGTAATTGTCGGCTTCATTTTCGTATTGTATTTTCTAATGGCGTTCCAATTCAGCCGATACTTTTCGTAGACCTTAGGACTCGGATAAGATCCGTTAGAAACTTGCATATGAGGACTAAGGGTGTTATGTCTTTTTTTTTTCTTTTGGGGTCATAAATGGTGTTATGTCTAATCTTCATTCTATTATATAAATGGAATTCCATGGTTCCCTTGCTATCTGCTGATGGAAACAAATATGAAGGCAAGTTTAATTACAACAATAGGGCGATCTATTCTGGATTCTAATCTGTTAGGCAGCAGGAATATGCATCTTCCCCTCAGATTATCAAATATATAGTATCTTTTTTTTTTGGTTGACCTGAATCAAATATATAGTATCGAGAAATCGTTTTTGAGTTTAGTAAGAATGGTATGTGGTAGAAGACGCAATGTTCGTTATGCAAGCCTTTCATTTTGACAGGAACCTACACCGGAAGAAAGAAGACAGAGAGACAGAGGGCGGCGCCGGACTCGATCCAGTAAAAAACCACCTGCTTCTATGACTGATTTTGAGCCATCAGATGCGTATCAGTGGCTGGATTCTGACTCTGAGTAGTTTTCAAGTTGGCTCTCCTCCTTAAAGGAAAGCAGCTAATGTCATGTCTCTTGAAGACAAAAAGCTTTAAATTGTTTTCATAGAGGATCCTTCACTGGGATGACTCGTCTGTGGATAGCTTGGAGCCCTGTGATATGTTTTTAGTCGGCCTCCCCCATCCCCCCTCACCCAAAAAAGAAAAAGAAAAAAGAATCAGATACTTTGAGAAATGTATTCCAATTTCAATTGTAGGATCTTGTTTTGTCTTTTCTTTATTTAATGCATCTGTAGGAGCAATTTACATTGCTGAGATTCAAGAAGCTCTTGTTACCAATTAATGCAAATATTTCCCGGGTAAATTAATTGCATATTTTAGATTTTTATTAAGTGTCGGCTGTGGCATTGCTCATCTCATTTCAATGTACTTGTTAATAATACGGGTTTTTATAAATTTTTATGAGTGATATTGATTGATTACATTCAGCCCTCAATCAAAATTCGCATCATAAACATCTCTGTTTGGTTTGGTTTAGAAATTTCTCAAACCAAACCAAAGAGATCAGTATAGCATAATAATTGATTGAACCAAATTGAAAATCGAATCTACTTGGGTTTGGTTTTGCACATCTTTAGTTGGGAAATTAGAGAAAAAAATTTGTTAAAAAGAAATTATAAATGTGAAGTCTTTTTTCGTTTTTTGTTTATTTGATAAAAAGTTTTCTTTTCAAGGCTTAGAGTGTAAAGGATTTTTGCATCTTTCAACAGGTGTGTTTTTTGAGATTCAAACTTGTATTCTTCTCATTATGAGAGTGACGTCACTTACCAACTCAATTAATAGTTTGTTGATAGATACGAAGTCATTTAGAATGATTAAAATAAATATAATTAAGTTACTGTTTTGAAAAATTAGAATATGGAAAAGAGAAATTTTTTTGGAGTGAACAGTCAACCATTTCAAAATAATACTTCCCGGTTTTAAATATAAGACTCATTTTGTAATATAACTTGTAGTACAAAATGAGTTTTATGGATTGGAGGAGTAATCAAGAATACACACATTTAGAGGAAACAGGAGAATTAGGCCACCTTCTAAGAAGGGTTTCTTAATTATGCGTTCCCAAAATAAGAAACAAAGACTGGTCGCAAACGGGGGCGCAAGGCGCGTTCTCCTACCGGGTCATGGGCTCGATTCCTGGCGAGGCACCCTGAGATTAGTCTGGCCGATACGCTGGGATACCCTGAGTTAGCGATAACATCCTACTCAAAAAAAGATTCCAATATGATTTTTGAGAAATTCTGTTTGTGTAGGTCTTTTAAGTTCTTAGGGAGGTAGAAATGAATTTTAATAAATTTTAGAGTTTGGTAAACTTTTAAAAGACTTATTCACGTTAGTTGAGATAAAATTCTTCTCATATTCTTATCTCATACTATCTCTGGTATTTAATATAAGACCTTGTTTAACTTTTATTTTGGTCCTAATTATAAGACTTCAATCTAATTTGTCTCTTATATTTATGTATTTTTTTTCAAAGTAGTCTCTCTAATAATGATAGTTTTAGCCAATAAACTTGATTAGTAAGAATATTTTAAGAAAGATAATACTTATTTATTACAAATAACTAGCTTAACTTATTTTCTTAATCTAACTAGCTTTTATAATTAGTATTGGAGGTAGTAAATTATAAAAACATTTTCAAATAGCTAATCCAAACACGCTCATTAAGATCTATGGTTGAGAGGATTGGATATTTACAAACACGCTAAAGTTTCTCCCTCTCCGTGTGTAGGAAGTCACAACAGATATAACAATATACGATACACATCTTCTCTCTTTGTTACGCAATAAGCATAAACAAGTTCAATGTTACTCGTTCCCAGCTACAATTCCTTCTCCTCACTAATAAATTTGAATTTCTTAGGCCAGGATGGCCGACAATTTCTTATGTACGCTCAATGTACCTCCTCATTTATGCACTGGCTAGTGACATTTATGTAAAGAAACTGGAGTTTTGCATACACAACAATTTAAACAGCTCAATGAATTTTTATCTTACTTGTCAGTTCACATGTAACTCCTCCCCTCTCCGTTATTTCAATAATTTCTTTTAGAAATACTTGTTTCTTTCTCCTACTCTCTCTCCTGTCCACAAAATTTTTTTTTCAAAAACTTTTATTTTCCCTCTCTCCATCTCAGGTACCCCACTCCTCCCATCTCTCTTCCCTCTCTCAAGTACCCCCACTCCTCCCATCTACCTCTCTCAGGCAAGTGGATATCATGAGACCCACCTCTATCGGAATCCAGGGGAGTAGCTTAAATCGCCGATTCCAGCTGGAAAATGGGGCACTCCACGGAAGGATCAGGGTCTGCGCCGACCGTGACCGCTGCATCACCGTCTCCGAAAGGTGACGACGCTAATCTCTAAGCTTGGTGAGCTAGTAATCAGTGACTGGCATGTGGATGCCGGAGGAGGTACAGAACAAGATACTGATTTCTCACAAGCTGCAAGCTTCTCTTTCTTTTTCATATCTTCCAAACAAATCAGACACCATATATGAGAGAGAGATGGAGGGGAGAAAAGATATGAGTAGTGAAACCCATAAACTCATGCAGGGTGATATATCAGAACCTCCATAGGGCCTCTCATTGAGACAAGATCACATATCAGAGATGGAGGAGATGAAGGGAGGGAAAGATGAAAGAGAGAGAGTGGCGTGGTGGGGGAAAGAGAGATGGGAGGAGTGGCGGTAAACCATGGTGAAAGTTTTGGGGAAAAAAATTTGCAGATGGTGGAGAGGTTAGACGGGAGGAAAAAAACACATATTACTAGAAAAATATTTAAATAATAGAAAGGGAGGTGTGACATGTGGGCCGACAAGTAGGATAATATTTCTTGAGGTGTCAAAATATTATTGGCTAATGCATAAATGTGATGGCACACCGGGGGTTAGCCTAGAATTTCCCCGGATGGCTTTGTCATCAATGTAATGACACGTAGATCTTTCATCAGTGTAACTACGAAAATACCCCTAGTAAAACCTTTCGTCAGGGTCAATAATGTAAACAGACAGATGACCCCTGATTCTCTAGCCGGCGAAGCAGTTATGATATTCCTTTCGACTTCTGCTTTGTCGCGCTTGAGAATCTCTCCGACTTGAGCTCTGTTGGAGATAGAGGTGAGAACTGAGAAGTAAACACAGTTTCTGGATTCGTTGTTTTCCAATGATTATGTTGGTTTTCGCCTTTTTACTTGGTCTTTTCGTGATATATATTTTTTTCTCTGGACTTTGGCGCTGATTCCTTGGAATGATTTGTATTAAATATGCTTACTAGAATGAATAGAACTTTCTATGCGGTCAGTGTTAGCTTCCATTACTCACCACTTCACGATTTCCAGGTTTTGCATTTGGAAAATGTGTTTCCGTTGAATTATTTATGCATTAATGAATGCCGCTTCTTGGAGTGGTTTAGTTGGATTTTCAATTTAGGGTTTCTGGGCATGTCTGTGGTTCTGATTAACTAGGAAAGTCTTACTTTTAATTTCTTTTTCCCCTGGAATTCCTCAATTAGTTGGCAATGGGCGTTCGCGCTTCTGTTTTGCTCGAGCTTCTACTTCTTCATTATCACTATCATTATTATGACATGGGCGGAGGCACTACAATTGATACTCTCTCTCTCTCTCTCTCTCTCTCTCTCTCGTGGCGGGGATTTGAATGATGGGAAGATCTGATCGATCTGCCATGTAGTGTTAACTTGTGCGAAAAGTGATGCAAGAGATCATAAATCAGATATAACTTCTATTTTGATCTCGATTCTAGAGAGCTTCCATTTTGAAATAATAGAAGACTCTGTTTTGTTATTCTTTTTTTCTTCCTTCCACATATTTGTGATTACACTCTATGTAGAAATAACCACGATTTTTTGAACTTGTGGTCAGGACTCTGTAGTATCTTTCTTGCGGGATGGGCATTACACTGATAAGGATGAATCTTCAATTACCATTATTTATATAGCGCTTTTCTTTGATTACCCGGATTTTCACTTTTAACTTACTTTCAATATCTCTGAGATGGTGCCCACGGCTTCACTGCTGCCTGAAGCCTTCTTTTGCTATTTTATGTATGGCATGGAACTGATGACAAGTGTTTTGTCTTGCATGTGTGTGCGTAAATTATTTGCATTGTCTGACAACTGAGACATTTTTCCAGAACAGCTCCGGAATTATGTATTTTTAATCCAGCAAGCCATTATGATGGTGTTGTCTGTTTCCTAGTTCTACTTTTAGAAGGTTGTAATGGGGCCTCAAGGGCTCAAAATGACTTGGGGTTTTTTAAATTATTTTTGCCATGCCAAAGTCGTGGTGTGTGTATCTATGCTAGCTTGATAGATTTTCCTAACTCTAGTAGCAATAAGGTGCTATGAAAGAAAAAAAATACCATGCTTTAGGATTTATAGTTTGAATCTTTTATGATTACTTGAATTATCCTTATTGCTTATGATTCACTTTTGTTTGTCCCTTGAAGTTCTGGGTGAACTTTTTTTATTTTTTTTTTTCAACTAGAAAATTTTGCTTTACTTATTTAGTGAAAGAAAACAAGTAATTAGTTGCCGAGAGGCATGGGAAAGGATTCAAAGCCAAAGGACTCCGGGAAGGGAAAGGGGAAACAGGCAGCAAGTGGAAGTGATGATAAGGGCAAGGGAAAAGGTGGGAAGGGTGCAGATGGGCTAGGTACCTGCACCTATGTCAAAGGTAACAACTTCTTTCCTCTCTGAGTACTTGTTATAGAAAACTGTACAATCACTTTTTTTTATTACTCTATTTTTGTATTTATGTTTCCCTTTGGCTTTCTTTTTGCTGCAGCAAGGCATGTCTTATGTGAGAAGCAAGGAAAGATCAACGAGGCATACAAGAAACTGCAGGATGGTTGGCTTAGCAATGGAGATAAAGTGCCACCAGCAGAGTTTGCAAAGGTGAATTTCTCTAGGATGTGCTACATTGATTTTTTTCCCTGTCATATAGTTGTCTCATGTTTTTCTGTACACTATCGTACCTGCTGAATTTGGTGTCAACTTAGCAGAGATCACTATTGTTCTAGAAATTACGTATCACAGCTATTTTCTTTTTTTCTTCCCCCCCCCCCCCCTTATCCAAGAAAGAAAACTATTACCTTTTGTTAGTGGTGTGAAGTTTTTATCATTCTGTTGGAAATAAGGTGAAATAAGAGTGAGTTTTACTGTTTTAGTACTGCCTTGGACAATGACTTTTATATGAACTATTGCTTCTCATGACAAGTTCCGTCGCATGAAAAAAGAGGAATAAAATTATTTGTTTTTTATGACAAATCATGAGCAATATAGTCTTGGTGTCCTTGCAGATAGCACAAGAGTATTCAGAATGTCCATCAGGAAAGAAAGGTGGTGACCTCGGCTGGTTTCCTCGAGGAAAGATGGCTGGGCCATTTCAGGATGTTGCTTTTGGCACACCTGTTGGAGCTACAAGTGCCCCTTTCAAGTCAACGTATGTCTCTCTATTTTCACTCCTTAAATTAACACCCTGTGTACCCTATTTCTTGTCCATTTAGACACAATTGCTGACACATATTTCGGTGATGAATGATGATTCAGGCATGGGTACCATATTATCTTATGTGAAGGAAGGAAGAACTGAGCCTTCGACTAGAATGAAGCTGATTTCAATGAAGAGAGCATTTTAACTGTTCCCTGATCAAGTGATTGGAGGTCGCTTCATTGTCTCATGAGACTGGTTTATGATTTAAATAAACAGTTTCCCGTATGTATATTAGGCTTGTTTTCTAATGCGTGGAAGAATTGACATCATATTTGATTCTGAATGGATCCCAAAGATTTGACATATCTTAATGGTCAAAAAGTTGCGCGCAATATTTTGTGTAGTCTTTCTTTTTCTTTCCTTCTCTCTTTTTTTCCGCCCCAAATTTATTATCTTTCTTGGTTGGACTGGTAGATGCTCAGCATCTCTCCTGTGAAGGTAGGGTAGATTCCTAATACATGTTTCCTACTTTCTTAAGATACCCTGAGCTTAAAGAAGCAATCGTTACTGTTTTTAATTCCTGACTTCCAGATGAACTTACAATACCTTGCCGCTGGTTCATGTTAGAGAACAGATTCTCATTCAAAGTAACAAGCTAAAATCTGATCCAATCCACGATGAAGTGGAACGGATATCTAGCCAAGAAGTGGAAAATCGTTTCCTTATTTGGGAAGGTATCCTTCAATTCTTCCTCTGAAGATGGCAGTGAGAATGATATAGAGCACGGATAGTGTTAAGAGTGGAAATATAACCCCATAAAAAAATTTAAATTTGATATTCAAATTCAGTCTCTCACACACACACGAGCGAGAAAAGGGTTATTGATATATTTGAAACTGTATTGTCAAACCGGGACTTTTTGCTAACATTAAATATGCTGTATTCAACGCACTTTGATGTCCCCTACGACCTCGAAGAGGTATTATCTACGTAATCATCTTGTGGGCTTGGTTTATGAATACTGTTCTAATTTTAAATATTTAATCGGTATTTTGTCATTTACCTTAATTACTTGTGTCTCTTTTTTTTTTTGTCTCGTTTAATTTTATGGTCCATAATTTTGATCAAATCAATTAACAATTTTATATTGAATTCATTATAATTCTAACTATAAAATCCACATTAAGATATTCTCTAATGTTTCTTTTTAAAGTAGATTGTCTTGTGGCTTGCAGAATTTATTTTTTTACGTCCTACCTCCAGTTTTACATATAAGATATAATTTGTAGTATAAACTAGATCTTATGATTAGAATCAGAAGTAATATTTTATACTATTATTACAAAAAATATAAAAAGGGAAGAAGATTGAAATATAATTTCCAATGTCAGTGGGTTTGTGTCTGCTTCCCTTCCCTCCTTTTTTGGTACACAACCACACCGGATGTTAGGTAACCGTTGGTTATATCACAGAATTTTACTGCACATCTCATCGGATTAATGAAATTTGGATCACTTGTTAGATGTTCTTAATATAATACTGATAAAATTAATTTAAATAGCACAAAATATTAAAATCAGACGTGGTATGAATATCATTTGGACAATTCAAATGTGGGGTCTAAGTGAGAGCCAGAGAAGAGCCACGGTCAGCAACATGGGGAGGAAAAAGGAGCGCCAACCGTTGCAGATAAGCAAATCCCCACCAAAAACGAAACAACACGTGTCAGCCACACGATTTTTGGATATTTTTGTACTTCACTTTCATCATTTTTAGTCGCTCTAAATTCCACCGGACGTAGTAGGCGCTGAAGCGCGGTTGAGAGAGGGCGGAGGCCAAAGGGATAAGATACCTAACTCTTTCGAGCTATCTACGTTTGAATTGAATCGCGAGGGAGATTTAGAGACTGCGTACTCAGAAGAAGAGAAGGAAAGTCGGAGATGGCGACAACTTCATTGTGTTCATCGACGCTTCAATCTCAAGTCAATGGATTGGCTGGGGGAGTCAAGCTTCAAAAGACTTCTCTCTTTCAACCTCGTTCCGTCACTTTCTATAGGTATTGCTATCATTTATTAGAAATTGTGTAATTGGGAAGCAATTGTGTTGTTAGGAAAAATGCCAATGCTGAACATTTCGTAAATCTTCTGTGCATACCTTGAATTGTTGATTTTAACCGCCATTTTCTTGAAACGTTCTTGAATCCCTTGTGCGGTGATGGGTGTCCATGGTAGTAACTTATTCTGGATGAGAGGATCTGTTTTTGCTGGCGAGACCTGCAGAATTTAGGAAATTATGCGCTTCTTTTCCACTGATTTAAATTAAAAAAAGATTTTAGGAAAAGAATTACCTCTGCATGAACAAAGAGTTACATTCCAAATTAAGGTTTCATTCTTCAACTTCTATGTATCACGCCTTACTGATATTTTAATAACCCCAATTCCGCATAGCGCCGTGATTATGAGAATATTGTATGATTTAATTTACTCCACTCCACATGCATGCATTGCCATGTTTTCATATTCATTCAATAGGACATCGATAACCTTCTATGGTGGTGAAAAAAGACTCAAATGGCTCTTGTTTCCAGTTTCTATACTTAAGATCAACTGATGATTTTTGAAGTTAGATCAACTGATGATGTTTGAGGTGTTCCGTGCATACTCTAATAGGCTTAATAAACGTTAAATCCACTGCTTTACTCAGTTGAAATCCATCCACTTGTCAGTCACTTTATATTCAGTTTGAGTACTGAAAGATTTTATGCAGGATGAATGCGTATTCAGCGAAGTGCATGTGCATGCAATTCATAGTCATGCCATGCTCATAGGACCTATGTAATGTTACTCATGGTTTGCTACGTACGCCTTTTGTTATTTCAATGTAGAGGATATCTTGACGTTTTATAGGCTTTAATTACTTGCTATTTTGTGGATTTAGAAGGAAGATGACTACTACAGTGAAGGCTATGTCTCGTGTTGACAAGTTTTCTAAAAGTGACATCATTGTTTCTCCTTCCATTCTTTCCGCTAACTTTGCAAAGCTGGGAGAGCAGGTTATCATCTCTAATTGCTTTAGCTTGTATCCAGATTTTAGTTTTTCTACTAAACACCTAGGACACTTTCTGTTTGAACGCTCAATGAAGTCTAACTATATAATCATCTTATCAAGTCTGCAAGTTATAATTAACAAGTTTCTGATTTTAATTTGTCAATCATGTTTGATGAAGTTTGACTCATGTTATCTAGGTAAAAGCTGTGGAATTAGCAGGCTGTGATTGGATCCATGTTGATGTAATGGATGGTCGTTTTGTACCAAATATTACAATTGGGCCTCTTGTGGTTGATGCTCTGCGGCCTGTGACAGACCTTCCATTGGATGTGCACTTGGTATTCATCTTTATACGTATATGAAATCAATCTGAGATTGAATACCTTGCACCCTTTCTGATGCACACTTAATAACTGTAGATGATCGTAGAACCTGAACAGCGAGTTCCAGATTTTATCAAGGCTGGGGCTGACATAGTCAGTGTTCATTGCGAGCAATCTTCCACCATCCATTTACATCGTACAGTTAATCAAGTAAGAGTTTCTCTGATCCATCTACATTTTGAGCAATGCCACTGCAATCAAAACCAAGGGGACTAACAAAAGGCAAGCTTTTGTAAAATTGGAGGAACTAGAAGTTTGTTTAAAGTCTGTAAAGTTTGACACATAATTTCTGAACATTCTGTAAAGGACCAGTAATCACCCCACTTAATATTGATGTTGGGAGATGCAATCTAAATCTCAAAAGAGTTAATCAATGTCTTCACCGTCACTAATATAATATTTATTAGTTAGTTAGTTAGTTATTTGGAGTGGCTGCGTACCTACTTTATCATGATGTGGATGAAGAGACTGGGTAAAATTTAAAAACAAGTTGAGGGATGGTTAAAGAAATGGCCCCATTGCAATTCCCTTTTGTTGTTTAGAATATCAACCCAATTATGTTTTATGAGCACGTTTTCTCTGGATGTTTGAAAGTGCTCCTTTGCATCAAGCATTTGGGCTCAGAAGAGGGGAATCGTCGAATAAACTTATAGCCATTATATGCTTGATCAGGGCAATTCTTAAACCATTACTGGATTTAGAGTAAAACCTCTTCTTCTTTTTTTTTTTTAAAAGGAAAACACCACTCATACATGGTCTCAAATTTTTCTCGGATGAACACGTGATAACAAAATTATTTCGCTCTTTTTATTTTACCCTTTCTTGGGAGCTTTGGGACTTGGGTTAATGATGATTAATGACCTATTTAGGTCATTATACAATACTGTCGGAGGAATAGTTTTCCTCAGGTAGCCAGAGCTATATGGATTTGTCTTTACCCGTATTGCTCCTGATAAGGTGCAGTTTGGCTCTCCACGCTGAATTCAGTATTGAGGATGCTAAAGAAAATGATAATTATCCAAATGATTGGGGTTTTGCATCCTCATACATGCTCGTAATTTTTCCCTTGTCTGATGCTATCTTTCGCCATTGCACGAAATATTTGGTGTTACTGTTGCGTACATTTCAGAGCTGGTCTCTTTTTCTAGCTCTGCTTGCTCTTACACGCTTCCAACTAAATGATGGAAGGCTCTCATTTATTAGAGTTCAGAAATGGTTCCTTGGAAAGATGTTTGCCACCTTTAGTTGTTCGATTTAGCTCACTGCATTCTCTTGACATAGATAAAAAGCCTGGGAGCCAAAGCTGGAGTTGTCCTAAACCCTGCTACCCCATTAAGTGCGATTGAATATGTCCTTGATGGTAAGCGATTGCAGTTCTCTTTCCATTTTATTTGTGTATCTACTTCTTTTTATTATAAAATGAGAATATAAACACTGTGCATTATGAGCTTTGTCTGATCTGTGGCTTATATGGATTTCTAAAAACTCTGCTGTATCAGCCATGAACAAACCCAAGCCTTGGCTTGGACTGGTTCAGAATAGAAAAGATAGCATAGTAGAAGCTGTCAGTAAACTATGAATTCCATCACTTAATAAATTAATGCGCTATAAATGAATCTTTATATGATATGACATAATAATTGACTGTGTTCTGACACTACTTGCAAGTGGAGAGCTTGTACTTCATATGAAACTAGAAACAAAAATTAATACATTAGTGATCAAGTGCATCAACGTATCTCAGATGATTGTGGTAACTATAGTTTTGTTTTTGAATGGACATTCGCAAAGAATGTATATCATGGTTTCGGTGGATGAATTACACCTTATCTCCCATGATTTTGGTGCTAAATAAATTTGGAGAACTAAAGTGTACTCAGTTGTTGACAGTGGTCGATCTGGTCTTGATTATGTCCGTCAACCCCGGGTTTGGTGGCCAGAGTTTTATTGAGAGCCAAGTGAAGAAAATT